CCCACTTTGCTGACATCCCTGAACAAGCCTCCTGGGCCTCTGGGCTAGTGTTCCTGTTCCTCCCTGACTATTGGTGAGTAACAGTGAACACACGGACATGTTGGACAGCGGCCCAGGCCCTTCTTCACCTCTGCACAAAGGAGAAATGTGCCCATGGAAACATCCTTCCAGGCTTCCTCCCCTGCACTGTGGTATGAAGGGAAGCCCCACAGAGCAGCTGCCAAGTGGCCCATGTGCACCTGTGATTTGCCCATAGGCCTGCTTGACGTGATGGCTCAATCCTATGAACACGCTCTTCTTTGTCACACACACAAGCCACATGCTGCAGTGAAGATTTTGCTAAATTTTCCTGCCAATATTTCAGCCTCTGCATGTTTGATTTCTCTATCTTCATTTCAGTTGATTCTGAATCTGAATGGGGAAGTCCAAGGTACCATTTGTAGGATCGCCTCAAACAATAACAGTTCTGAAAATTAATCAATGCATTGACACACTGTAGGTCCGCCATCTGGAAGAACATTCCTTGTGAATTAGACTCCCAAAGAAAGACAATCTCAGCACCCACCCGATCAAACAGTGTCTGATCTACACCACAGAGGGCTTTACCTCACACACATAGACAAAAGAATTCTAGTCTTCCTTCGGTGAGAGAGGAAATCAGAGCCACTCCTGTCCAGAGGTGCACAGCAGGGGTACACACGCCTCTCGCTCTGTGCGTGGAGCAATTATTCCTAAATCCCAATCTCATTTCTGCCCTTAAATTCCGTGAAACCCCGGGGAAATCTTTTGTTTCAATTAATTCCAGTACACAATAGGCAAGAACAACCTCACAATGCCTCACTCAGAGGGGCTCAATGCTCAAGGTTAATGTTCTATGGCCGGCATTGCAAAATTCTCAACAGTTTCACGGTTCAAATTGTCCTAAGGGAGGTTCATAGAACTTCAGAGTATGCACTAGAAGTTGGGGCCTTAGTTCATGTGCCATCCAACAGTGTCTCCCGGTCTCCCCATCCCTCCTAAGCTGCCATCAAATGGTCCCACTCACAGACACTGAGAAGCTGGGCTTGAGCACACCTGTTCTGCTGTTACCATAGAGGGCATGCTGTTCCTCCCTGGTGCTGGCTCACAGCACCTGGTACGTTATGCAGAGATCCAGGGAACCTGTGCAGATACCACCACACCCTTGGGAGTCCCATCCACAGTGGATGGAGAAGGGGTGGCATCTGGTTCAAGTTCCCTGCCTCAAGCAAGGTCATGATGCACAGGTGCAGGTGTAGGGTCTTAGCCTTAGAGAGCCAACTGGATGCCCGAAGCTGTTGGAAGGGTCCGCACTCACGTTGAGACTGCCGCTATGCCCACAATGTTAAACAGCCAACCCCAAAGACAAATGAGAATAAAATTAAAGTCCTGTGTCTTGGTGCCTTCTCTTTGACAAAGCAGCTCACACCCCACTTTTCCCTGGGCTCTGCAAATTGCACCCAGTCCTGACCCTTGGTTTCTTTCTGTTACTTGAAACTGAAGGGCTCCTAAGGAGCACACAGGCCCTTCTGCCTGGCTTCATAGTTTCATAATCTTTCTAAGCCTTTCTCCCAGGAGCTGACCTCATTTAGTAAACTGTACCACTGGGTGGAAGGCATTAGCTCAAATATTTTTCCACCCTTAATGGATGAGATCTCTGGGGCCCTGTCTAACCTGCAGTTTTCTGTTCGGACATAGAATCCACACTCACTGTGTATTTACAAAATAAATGTCAGTATCATCAGCTACTAAAACAAGAATGCTTCCCAGGATCACCAGATCTTACCCAGACCTAATGACAGATAAGAAAGAAGGCTTAGTCTATCAGCTACATATGACAACTGCTTCGTTAAAGCCTGTTTTCCATTTCAGCGTTAATGCAGGGCTGGCAGGGCAGATAAACACTCTTCCACTCAGAACCTTAACCCCCAGGTCAGGCTATGCAAATCTCATTTGGAAATGCCTGCAAGAACTCTGTCCCTTTAACCCTAAATGTCAAGATATTAAGAAACACATTTTACAAGGCTTAAAGGCATTTTAGTCTGTTTGTTAAATATGTGAGCAAAACTTTATTTTAAAAGTTATAGACAGTGATTATACCT